TCATGCCACATGTGTACTGTTGTACTTCTCAGCGATGCGAGGAGGACATATCCTGGTGTCTTTCTTTCTTACAAAGGGATTTCTCAGGAATTTGGTGTGGGATTACTTCAGATTTTGCGATGATGGATGCTGATTGCACACAATATAACGCGTGCGTAGCCGAGGTTCCAGAATCGACTCTGCTGATGTGTTGGTTTCATATCATGCAAAACGTGCGAAAACTTTGCAAAGATGCAAAATTGGATCTGGTGCCCAAACAGGTGATTTTCGCAATATGTATGATTTACACTTCGCTCCGGATGAGAGACAGTACCTGCGCAACGTGGTTTTGTAGAGGAACCGTAGATCAGAGCTAGGTTTTGGTGTCCTCGCTTTGGTGCAGTTGTTTCCCACATTATTAAAATGAGTTTTTGAATTCCATGTTTTTCACACTGACAAGCCTACTATACACCTCCTGGATATGCAGTTACAAAAATTCCTCTTGAGACTTACCATTATACACTAAAGCTAGTCAACAACATCAATCGGGCAACGCCTACTGAATTAGTGTCAAGACTGGATTGCTCTCGAATTGCGTACAAATCCACGGCAACACCATTTTCTACAGAAGGTAGGGTTTCCAAGAGAATGAAGCTGCCTCTATTAAGACAGATAAGTCAAGAGTCTTGGACGCTTCTCTTGTACACCGCGTTCAGAACCGCAACCTGATTCTTGTTCGGGGTTCCGAGACCTGGCCATTCCAGCTACCAAAACCACTTTATAAAGTACAGAGAAAACGATGAAGTACCAACTGTAACTCGCGACAGGTCCGCGGATGCAAAATCTTACTAGTTTGGAAATTAAGCGAGGGTTATGTCGGACATGACCGAAGGCGGGTGAATAGTAGATACGAGTAGCAGGACGTGTAATTGCAAGGTTTGGTGGAAGCATGCAATCCGCATCCAGTCGGAATAATGAGGCGCATATCTCTCGTTGTAGTCAAAGACAGACGCAAGGGACCACTGTACAGAAACTGCTACTTCCGAGCGATATTCTGTTTGCCCCCCCCCCCCCCCCCTGTCCGAACATCGTTTGGCTCAATCGAAGTTGTAAACGAGCACGTTGAGGGATATAGCCGCTAGTTGATAGGATCTCCATGAATCCGAGAAGACGCACGTGATAACAGGGTATCCCAGATCACTCAATTTGAACGTCATATCAGCATGAAAGAGGGTAAAGCAACTGGGGGACGCATACTCAATGCACGCGTGCACGAGTGTGAGGCATGAAATGCCGACCACAAAAGAGTCAGAATCCGTGCCTTTACCCACGTATACGTTACCATTTTCGTCTTCCTTGCTTCCAAAGCAAAAAAGCCCGATTGGAGTCACCGGTGGGGTCGAATGTGTTATTGCGAACCAGCTCACGGACCGCATGTCGAGAATTTTTTGTGCCCTGTAAACGACGCAGGTAACTCGCACAGTTTGTCACTTGAGCAAGTGTGGGAAACCCTCTGACTGGTTGCAAAATATCGGTGGTACGGCGCATGCTGCTCCGGATTAGCTGAGGTGGTACAGCTCACTCGTCTTGCTGGAGAATGAACTTTTTCATTTTCTCTGAAATTGTAGCCTTTTGGGGACCGTCACAATTGATAGCCGCGTCACGGACATGATCCATCTTGTTATGTAGCACTTGGCATCGCTCACCGTGTCACACAGCCAGACCTTCCATTGGTACTTACAGTCTCCATACAGCTTGCATGTCTTACTTTCACAGCGCAACCTCCTTTCTGTCATTGCGTGATCCCTACCTTCGCAAACTCGACATGGCCTCGCAGGGTCAGTGTGGGTAACTCGCGCACAACAAAACTCCAGATCTTGAACATCTGAGAGCTCGTTTGTTTCATTTTCACACAACTTGTCCCAGCTGTATGATACACGCGGCATCTTGTCAATCAGTAACCCTGTCACCACCCGGTCGTCGGGAAGGGTTTGTTCTTCAGACTTGTCGAGTCTGTTTCTTGCTCAGGTCACCGCTTCCTCTAACTGCAATGCCAATTGCCACAGCTCTCCGATTCTTCAGGTCTTCAGCAGTCAGAGCGGTCTCCACAGTCACATCAGTCACAGTAGTCTCCGTTATCACAGTAGTCTCCGTTGTCACCGCAGTCACTACTCTACAGCTATGACAGCGTCGACGACCCTCCTCCCCGCCGCTCGTACAGGCTTCCTCTCGATTTCTACTGTGTGTTTTTCAAAGCTGGAGAAACTCACTTCCTAGCCTAGACAAAGAATCCTAGGTATGATTGAATGGTCAGCATTTCTAAGTGTGGACCACCTTATCTTAGTTGCCGTTCTGTGTAATTTTCAACTCGATACACTCCGCGCCAAGAAACTACGGCCACCCACATTTTCCCCGGTAACTCCGTCAATTTTACGAGTTACGCCACACTATTTAAATATGTTACTTGCACTGTAAAAACACTTCGGGGGCTTGTTTTAACGTCTGGGAAAGTGCAGTTTAAGATAGGGCTGGCATACAAGTGACCATTTTCAACACTGCGACCAAGATGCGGCCACCTACGAATCTATACTAGAATCAAGTCAACCAGAGTGATGGTCAAAGTAACAGCTGCTTTAGTAATGGGTTTTGCTACCGTGCTTTTTAATGCATTCCTTGCATCGGCGAGGCATGGATTCGATCAAGCTCGCAAGCACGTTCATCTCAATTGCATTCCACGCTTCGTAAAGAGCCACCGTCAATTCAGCCACGGAGTTAAACTGTTTTCCATTCGCATGAACAGTACGAGTCATAATTTCCCATAGGTTTTCGACGGGGTTGAGGTCGGGAGAGCGCGCAGGCCAAGGAAGAACACGGAGCTCCTGCTCAGCGAAAAACTCCTTCGTTCTATAGGACCGATGAATAGACGCACCGTCTAGTTCGTATGTGAAGTCCGTGCCATAGTGCAGGTGAGCGAACGGCAAGAGGAATTCGGACACAGTGTGGACTTAGTCGTCCGAGTTCTGCTTGCCGTGGAGCACCGCCAACTTGATCTTGCCGGCGGCACCAAAGCCCGCCCACATCATGACCGAACCCCCCCCCCCCCCGGTTGTCGGCGCTTTGTCTGTCGAGGAGGCCGCCGCAAATTGCACCAGTAGCTTTTAAACCCATTCGGCCCGTCGAGATTCCATTTCTTCTCGTCGTAGAAGATAATGGAATCCCAGGACCGAAGAGGGTCCTTGTTCATCAGCATATCTCAGACCCACTCCTCCCTGGCCTTCTTGTCCTCGGTAGACAATGGCAACGTGTTGTCCATCTTCGTATACACGAGCCAATCAACACCAGCAAGCGTCCGCTGGATTGTACGTACCGATACCGCCAACTTCAGCTCTACCTTGAGCTGCCTGGCCGATAGAAGTCCTTTCGACGCCGTCCGGACCAGAAGGCGGAGATCGCGATCAGAAAACGAAGCTACAGGGTCCGGCTTCTGGCTCTCGTCCTGCTCTAAGTAGAGCACTCGATGAACAGCGTCCCTTGAGCGTTTCACATGGCGTGCAATCTTCCTTAGGCTAAATCCTGCCTCGTAAAGGCCGAGGATCCTTCCTCGCTCAATGTCCGTTAGTGGCGGCCCCTTTCCCATTAAATGCAGAATGGCACGAGCTGCGGTGCGACTCGCGGTCAAAGAAAATCACTGGTTATTGTTGCAGGTTTCATGATTTTGACCATCACTCTGGTTGACTTGATTCTAGTAAAGATTCGTAGACACATCATCTGGACTGTCTGTGGGATTCTACCGCTCTCCTACTAAACTGACAAGTGCACCAATTCGCTGAAAGAAAATGAAAGCACTTATAAAACGCTATCACCTGCTACAATAAACACTTTAACTCGCAATGCCTGTAAGAACCCACCACTTTGACTTATTTTGTACGGTGAGCAATTCTTCGGTCTTTATTAACGTACACTTGCTCCATGGCCATTCCATTGATTATGATTGGTTAAAAATGTAAATGAAGTTACTACATCGTAACAGACCAATTCAACATGGCTAAGTTTACACTTCCTCTTCACATCAATCCACAAGATCTTCTCCCTCCACGCTGCGTATATGCCCATGACAGGAACTTCCTTCCTCCGTGCCATGGCTGTGACAGCGTCCCTCTTCAGCGTTGTCGCTTCCTCGGCCTTTGTTCCAGTAGACGACCCTCACCGCGTCTCGGTGTTCGACGCGACGGTCTCTGGTCTAGCGCCGAAGCCGCCGGGTGCTTTCGACATGTACATTCTGGCGCAGAGCTGGCAGCCGACCTTCTGCTTCGGCAAGGAGCAGGAGTACCCAGGCTGTCGTGCACCGCAGAGCTACTGGCGCTCGCACCTGACGCTGCACGGGCTGTGGCCCGAGCTGTCCGGCAGCGCGCCGCCCAGCTTCTGCTCTGGTGAGGCCTTCGACGCCGACCTCATCGAGCGTGGGCTTGGTATCGACACGCTACACCAGTACTGGCCCGACGTCAAGTTCAGCGAGGCGTCACCGCAGTACCCCGACTTCTGGAAGCACGAGTGGACCCGGCACGGCACCTGTTCCGGCCTCAAACAGGTCGACTACTTCACGCACGCCATCAACCTCGAGCGCAACGAGACGCTCGCGCCCACGCCGCAGTTCGTGCAGGACCATATCGGCAAACAGGTGGACGTCAAGAAGCTGCGCGAGGCGTTCGGCGACGCGGCACTCAAATGCCAGCGTTCCAAGCACGTCACCATGTTCTCACAGGTCTTCACGTGCTGGCAGAAGGACGCGCACAACGTGCCGACGCAGCGCCGCGCCTGTCCGGCGCATATTCACTCGGAAGACTCGTGCGGCAAAGGCAGTGTGACCATCCCCGCCTTCGACTAGCGAGGCCAACATGCGTTGACTCATACCGGTCGACGATAAAGTGCAAGCCGGGCTCTGACTACTTCACGATAGTCGGTCCACGAATGCACGTCGTAAATCCTCACGACTTGACCGGGGTAGCGTTGCTCTAAACCGTGTAGGTCCAACGTTGTAACATTTCATATTGGTGTACGTGCGTAGACTCCTCTCATTTGCGTCGTGTCCACCTGGAGCCACGGCACGGCACGCCACCAGAGTCTCGATGCGCGTGCTCAGTTTAGTGTTTTCTAGCTTTCGATCTTCAGGTGACGGAGGCTCGTAGTCCATGGCGTTGCGGTGGATTGAAGTTGTACCGCTCGACGCTCGCCAGGGTGTAATGGAACCATTTTGTCACGTTGATGCAGACCACTTGAGGCTTGCATGCAGTGGATCCCGTGGCTGGTAATCGATTGTAACATGAATCGATCATAGCGCCTGTAGACGCGCAATCGAAACGCAAGAAGCTGTTGGTGGTGAACGCTCGCTTATGCGGAGCTGTTATCATTACTACTGGTTGATCGTACACTACTTCGTGTCGCTAACTTATCTTCCTCATACTTAAACGTCATGCACACATAGTTTCCTCTAGCACATGGAGGCCCGCACCAGCGAGACGCGCAGTGGCGGCAGCACTGCTGTCGACGTTGCGACTGTCACGGGTGACACACTGCGCTGCTGGGTTGAGTAGGACGCACGACGAGATACGTCGTCTGTGACGGTCAGTTTGGGTAGCTTGCACATCACAGGAGTCGTTGCTGTGGTTGAAGCGGCAGCAGCACTTGCCGCCGCCGAGTATCTCGAGTTGAAGAGTGCCGGTTGAGCCTGGTTCTGGAAGTGATAGAAGATCTGAGGCTCCGTGAGCTCCACGGACGGCTGGACTGTTTGCTGTTGCTGCTGAGCACGCACGACACTGTTGATGTCGTCGTAGCTTCGCTTGCGGCCAATAGAGGCCGTGGGCTTGGGGCTGGACGTCTTCGTGCTGTCCTTCACAGCGCCGTTGCTGGCGGCTTCGAGTGCCTGTTCCTCCTCCTCAATGCTCTGGATGAAAGCCTGACGGAGACTAGTGAGGTGGCGCGCAGCGTTCTCCTTGGAATGCGCAGCAGCAGGAGAGTCCTGAGCGCACGGGTAGTAGGCTCGTCGGCCGATCTTGGGATTGATCTTGATGCCGGCGAAGACCGAGCCAGGTAGCAACTTTTTGGAGATCCGCATGGGATCACAATGTAGCTGCTGCGCCAAGTACCCGCGCAGGGTGGTGCCGTACTGGATGGCCAAGAGGCCGTCGCAGAAGTACGAGATAGTGGCGGCGGCGTAGTCTTCCTCGGCGCGCGTCCACTTGCCGCGCCGTAGCGGGCCGGTCAGAGTAAGATCGACCGTGGTGGCTACCGGTACCTGCGCCGGCGGCAGCTGTACGGCTGTTTGCTGCGCCTGCTGCACGGTGTGCAAGTGCTGTGGCGAGTACTGCTGCGTTTGCTGCTGCAATGGGAAGTGCTGGTTGAGCTGGTTGAGCTGGTTGCTGTGGCCAAGCGGGTGCGAGGCACGCAGCGGGGGTAGCACGGCGAGGTGCTGGTGCTGGAGCGACGGCAGGTGAGTTAAAGGCATCTTGAAGCAACGTCTACTCTTTGTTCAGCACTCGAGTTACTCGAGACTCGGCCAATTGGCAAATGAGCTTTGGGTCGCGAGTTGAAATGACATGGTGCTCCTCCATCGACCGTGCCAATCTCTTCCCGTACTCACTGTCGAGCCTATCTTTCACCCACCTGCGCGCGTGCAGAAGAAGCTGACCACTGTCGTCTCGATGTAAGTAAGGCCGCATGATCATTGAGGATGGTGTCACGCGATTGATGTGCAAAGTTGCTGCACGGCTGTGGCCGGCACTTGACGCTGACTGTCCTTGGGTTTAGCAAAGCCGCTGCCAATCGAGCGTGATGAAATTCACCAGTTGAAGGACAGACTCACCCGCCGACTCGAACCTCTTGGCTCTACACCAAGCTGAGCATTTTCGTGTGCAATGGTCACACTGGGAGCTGCTGTTTGAAGGAATCCATTCATCTTGTTCGAAGGCGGGCATCGCGGCGGCCGCAGCGGCACGTACGGACAAAAACAGCTTGCAAGGAGGAAGGCAGCACACAACTCGGAGCTCGCAGATACAGTCTTCGGTGCAGCCTCTTCTACGTTGGAAAAGTCTCACGCCCCGGTTTGGAAGACTTATGCACGCCAATCTTCTGTGCAAGCCACCGCGCGACAGCTCAACACCGGCGGTCGTGCCTGCCTCACTTCGCCTTGTTGACGAACCAGTTCCTCAACTGCTTGCTATAGAATCCAAGACGAGCTGGTCCAAAACATGCCAACATTCACCTGGCAAACCCGTTGCTAAGCGTACACAGTGGACGTGATGACACAGACTTCAGTTTTTTTTTCGCTACAAAGAGCTGCACAGGATCACCAGAAAAAAAAATGTAGTCCGCCACAAACCAGAACCTACCGAGAGGATTGAGAGGATACTTGCGAGGATGCCACTGCTACTATCGCGTTGAAGCTAACTGGACGCCGAAGTCAGGCGTCGTTTGCGGCTCTGCCGTCCACCACGGCGCGAGAGACTCGCAAGGGCGGCGCTGCCGGCCACATGCCTCATGGGACTCGTAGAAGCTCGGCCGCGTCGCGCTAGACAGCGTTGCGCGCCGTTAACTCGCAGTTAGGCGACATAATGCCAGTGCCATGCTGGACTTGTTGTCACGGGTGCGCACCCAGGCGTTTTATTTGCAATCTTAGTCTGGTTGTGGAAATGAGACCATCCAGAAGCGCGGACGCGGCTCTCACGCATCGAACTGCGTTCAGCGCCGGCGCCGCGACGTTGGACAGCGTCTGCCTCGAGCCATTCTCCTCGCGTTGCGTGGCCAGATGCAGTCAGTCTCGCTTCAGTGGCGGCTGAACATGCGGGCTCATTTCCACTGCACTCTACTGCTGAGACCGAGTGATCTTCATAGCAGGAGTCCTCACACATTGCGATTTAATTTGATTGTGGGCCGCCGTGGGACGGATGTTGTGAGGCAGATCGCACGGCCCTTTCCTTGGCAAGCGGCCACCTGGACGTGCAAGCGCTTGCTTACGACTGGCCATGGTCAAGTGGCGCCCCAGCTATGGCGAAACGCCTCGGTCCCCCGAGACTTTGGCAGAGTGGCATCGCCGTTGTTGGGTGGTGTGAACGAGCCATCTCTGCAAGCAAGTCGAGACATGAGGTACACACAGTGTAAGAATGACATTCCCAGAGTGCAACAATCGCTGGCGCCAGGCCGCCATTGATCCGTTTAGACGCTGCTCTGCGCTCGGCCTTCAGGTGCCCACGCGGTCCACAGCACAGCATTGCCGCACCGCCGTCGTGTATCGCAGGCTCAGCAACGGCTTGTCTGGTTTCAGCCGCCCGTCGATGCCGTCCGGATCCGGATACAGTAGACTCAACCACGCTTGATTGATGAAGCACTCGCAGCTTGAAGCAAATGAGGCTGGTCAAAGCAAGACAGAGGAATAAGAACGACGTTGAAGCTGGAGGAATGCACTCGGATCGATCACGGAGTTGAACCATCTGCATGTCCTGCCTTCCACCTCGCCAGCAGAGAGCAGGCCGCGCCAAGTCGCCACGAACGAAAAGAGTGTCACGCCTGATCGTGCACTAAAAAGGCGGGGCATCGCGCAGTAATGCTCGGGGCTTCAAGTCGCGTACACCCACGCTCTTGAGGATGATGTTTTTCCCCTTGAGGACCAGGACACAGCAGGCGATGACATGTACCGCGTTGGATGAGGCGCGTTCAAGAGCCGTCGCGAGTCTAGCGTTGCCTTGAAACTTTCAAATTGAAAGCAGGCTGACGCCGCGCTGATGATCGGTTTGTCATGTATCGACTGCGTACAGCACTTGCCGACGGCAAGTTGCCGTTGAAGTCCTGCCGGATCGTGTTTGAAGTTGAAAGTTGTTGATGAGCCAGGCTCGGTGCCCTGCCTCCGGCTCGCAAGCAGTTCTTCCCAGGACCAGCCAGCCTGAAAGGAGGCAGGCAGCGCTGCCGAGCATGAAAGTTTTAGAGAAACTGGTGACGATGCAGTCTTCCGGTTGTGGACGACTTCCACTATTGCCGAGCTTGCCCGACAGCTTCAAAAACTGGTCGACTAGCGCTACCGGTTCGTTTGGTCCGGCTCCTCGACGTCGCTGCTGACGCCTTCTTCAATTGTAGCTACATCGCGCGTCCGGCGTAGCAGATGTACTCCTTAGGCCCACCTCGCCTTGACAGCACAGCAAAGCAGCCATCGAACTAACTCAAATCGTTAGCCAGAAACTGCTTCAATTATCGTATCGTTCGCTGCGCGATCCATCCAAACCTGGGGACCTTCTGACTGCGTTGTCCTCCTGACAGGAATCCTAAGCTGTGGGCTGCAGTCGCTTGTGGTGGCGTCCAATCGCTGGAGTGCCGTTCCATGCCGAATCCCGGCCATGGTCAGGCATTCTCGCAGTGTGACTGTCCAGTGGTGAGAGTGTGGTAACGCGGTCGGCACTTGAGTTTATCTCCACCAAAACGATTGTAGAGGCGGGAGCTTGCGCTACCCCGAAAGACACTTAAGTGGCCGCGAGTTGACACTGTGATGACTTGACACGTCCGTCCATTTGCTGAGGCGCAGGTCTCCACCAAAATGCTCCCTTGTTGCCTGGAAAGATAGATTATCGCAGCTCGCTGAACCTCTGCATTCCCGCACTGAAGAAAGTGGATCTCTCGATGAGGTACCTTGCATGTAAGAAGCTATGGCTACAAACAAGGCGTAAAGTGAGAAGCACAGAGGGTCACACGGCTTGGTGGCAACTTACGCAGAAGCATGTCAGCACGAAATCAAAGGTGAAAAGATATTGAGAATCCATCGAGAACGGTCTCCAGGTCTCTAATGGATATAAATGATAGACTAGGACGATAAATTCATGCAAACTTACGGATAGCGTCGCTCTCCAGCGTCCGCGGTTACCTTAATTCTCTCCTTCCACATGCTCCTCCACCGCTGCAAAGAGGCCATCGCCCAGCTGAGTCCAGCTTGCCTGCAATTCCTGCAAGTCACGACCCACTTGTCCCCACAATGACTGCAATTCACGGTTGCTTGGTCGGCCAGCATTTAGAGCTGGAGATACTGGCTCGGGAGAAGTGTCGTTGCTCGAGACTTGTGGGTGGCTTCGACCGACTCGTCGAGGTGTGCGACCGGCAGACGACTGGCCTTGGTCTCCAGCCTGACTAAAACTTGCGTTCAGGTTCCGAGCAGCTCGGCTTGCCATCGTGAATTTCGCTGCGTTGGTCTCTTTCAACGGTGGGGATCTTGACCCCTCGTGATCCACTAAGCTAGCTTCATCACTGTCATCTTCATCACCGTCGACTTCCACGACTTCGTGCTCTTGATCACCAATGTAATCTTCCTCCTCGGCCTTAGACGTGTCAGGTACCAATGGATCGTCGTGAGAGAGCAGCCGACGCTCTCTTTTCGTCAATGGATTCGACTCGTTATGCGTGTTAGACCGACACAGTAAATCGTCGTGCGCAGGCAGCCAAATGTCGTCGTCGTCGACCTCTACATGCACGCGAACGCCGACACCGTCACTCTCTCCTTGCACCTCAACATCCGCGCTTGGGATCACCTCAATCACGGTGGCGTTGCGCCACTTGGTGTGTTTGAGTCGCGGGACTTCAATACCGACCTGGACCAAAGAGTGCGGTCGAAGTGAACTACGCCATCTCGGGACTCGAGAGTACGGCAGTGCAATTCGGGGCGACGTACGGGGAATCCACTCGTCCCATTTCCTCTCCCAACTTCTGTAGTGCACGTGCACTTTATTGCGTCGTGCAGCGAGGACCCGTGCCTCGAACCAGACGCGTGACGTGTCCAAGGCATCCAGCAAGTCACCTTTATCAAGAGCCATGCGCCACTGCAGCTCCCGGCCTTGACTTGGCCACCCCTCACCTTTTTTCTTCTTCTCAATCAGCAGTTCGTGTAGACGGGCAGAGCCGCTGGCGATTTCGCTTCGGTTATCGAGGCGAAGATCACCGAACTTCACATTCATCTCTGTGCGACCACCTTCGAGCAGCACATCAAACTCGGCTTCACTTTCTTGGTCACTTCGCTCGTCGCTGCTCTGCTCCTGCTCGCGTACTTTACGCTTCTTGGCATGCACTTTCAAGCGCGTCGCAAGTGCTGTACGAGGACGCTTCAGCATTTTGTTCATTTGCATCCACTCCAGGGTATCATCACTAGGCCGGATAGTATGATAACAGACTCGAATCTGTGCAGCATCCGACGCTGTAGTCGTGTTCTTTGGAGAGGAACAGGTCGGGTCGACACTTCCCAATAAATCGGGGAATTGTTGGCGAAACTCCACTGGGGCTGCGAGCCAAACTTCACTCAGCAATTGTCCAAGCGTGTGGTTCCGACTGCCGAGAACCACCACTTCCTGGCCTGCATCATCGACCAGCTCTACCGGATCGGTATCGTCGGCCGTCCATGAGAAAACCTACGTAGAAAAAATTGTTAATAAATGCAGTTTAGGCAACAGTATGATACCATCCACGCACCTTGAACGCAAACGGGTACGGCTCAATCCGTAGCTGCTGCTGGATTCGCTGGTAGATCACTTCGCGACGGATCTCCCAGTCGAAGCCCAACTTGCGCGCGATCACGTCCCACGAAGCCTCCTGGATGAACATCAAGTCGGCTCCCTCCTCAAGTTTTGGCTTCAAAATCGACACCTTGCGAGTCTTGGAGCTGAGCTGCTTGTCAATCAGCGAGGCGTTTTGCACACTTGGTGCGTCTTTTGCATTCGGAGCAGCCTGGAACTGATCCCACCACGATGTCGCCACTGCGAACCAGTTATCGCCTTGATCCAGTTGCGCATCGCTTGGCAATTCCCTGGCGCGCTCGAGCGTTGACTTCATCGGCGTCTTCACCGGGGTCTTCGTGAATGATTGATCTAGTGGCGTTTCTCCACTCAGGACTCGTCCCAGATCTCTCGGTCTCATAGTGCACTTCATCTTCAACAACGTTGGCGTTTGACTTGGTGGCAGAAGTTTACTAGACCAGCATGTACGAGCTATGGGCTTTGAAATGAATAGTAACGAGGACGCTGCTTATGTTGTAAGATATCACGGGGATGTCATACCTATCCGAACTACGATGGCAAATTTCATGCTTACGCACTTATAATGGCAAAGTGGTTTTAAAGAAGCGATATGATGCGAGCGATACGAAAGTGGATAATCGGCAAGGCGGCAACACCTGCAATAACACCTGCAATGCCACAGAATCGATAATTCCCATGAGCAGATAAGTGTATTATACGAGGTAATACTAAAAAAATATGTGCTGCTTGTCATGTTTTATCGAAATTCGTTGGCACCGCGCCACTATCGGATACGACGAAGTGAACAACAAAAAGCGCCAGGAGAGCAACCTGCTACGTTGAGCAGCTATATGTAGCACTTTAACTTTATAGAGCGAGCCAGGTGTCACTGCCTCGTTGGCACTATCAGGCCAAAGTTGACCACTATTTATTCGCTTGAAGCGAGTGACCGACGCCAGGAAAAACTAATGCATATGAAGCTTATGTGACGAAGCAAAGCCGTCCGGGCGATACAACGACAGCACTCACTCACTACATGTATACTGTAGCACTTATCACCTCTCTGGATCGCCTGCTCTGGATTCTTGGTGACAAGATTATCACCCTAAGCATCTCGCTTGCACGATGCCTCATCGAAATGACCACTTTGTTCAGAGCGGGGTACATGTAGGCGCGTTTTGGTGGAGACCTGCGCGCGCCGTAATCTTCGCAAATGGACCGACGGACATGTCAAGTCATCGCGACGTCAGCTCGTGGTTGTTTGGGAAGTCTAGTGTCTTTCGGAGCGTCTCCTCTACAATTGTTTTGGCGGAAACAATTTCCAGTGCGTAGCGTTGCCACGCTTGAACCATTGGACAGTCGTTTTTGTGAAGTGTTCGACCGTGGCCGGGAAGACGGCATGGAATGGCAATGGCGCCACTCGCTTGTTGTTCTTGCAATGGGTAGCTATTGTACAAAATTTTAGTCTGCAGAAAGGAAATGCAGACAGAAGAGCCCCAGGTTTTTGATGGATCGTGCCGCAATAGGTGACGCCGTTTCTGGCCCCTGTTCACTGATGAAGTTTGAATTATTGACACTGCCGGTAGCCGCTTTGCAGCACCGTCAAAACGAGGAGGACCTAAGAGAAGTGGAAACACAGAATCTGCTTCCGAGGCATGATGTGGCAAGTAAGAGATCGAGTGAGGAATGATGGTTTTAGTTGAAGTTAATTAAGAGTGTTGGTAAACTTCAACTTACCAGGTTTGATTAGAAAAATATGCAGTAATATAACACCGTAGCGTTTAAGTGTCGAGTTGAGTGAGCAAGGCGACGCCCCGCCTAATCCAATGCTTCTGTCGGTGTTCTTCGCTCATGGGCAGTCTGACAGACATGACGAAGTTTGTCGAGTGGCCAGTGGTTGACAACGTTCCCTGGCGCTTGGATGTCTTGTACACCGGACAGAGATACACATGCGCCGTCCCCTTCGGATCTGTATCTTTAATTGGTTCGATCTGGTCACGAGATTTGGGTAGCAGATGCAGAACAGGCAAAGGCACATACAGTTCACGAGGTCTAGATTCGGCGAGAGAGTGTGTCTTGGCATCCCAGCGAGCACCCTCTAAAAAGAGACCGTCCACGTAGGCACCGTCCTCTGCAGGTACCGTAAGCTCCGACGCTGGTTGTGCCAGAACGACCATGTCGTAGCCCACCTGATCGATAGGAAGCTTGTGCTTTCGAGCATAATTCTGCTGCGTTCCGGTAATGAATGCCTGTGTGAAGAAGAAACCGGAGATCCAGTACACCGGTGGCGCTTTACCGAGTGTTATCCAGTTCTGTAGGAACGCTAAGCGTGCCAAGAAGTCAGTAACCCAACTGCCCAATGGCTTCAACGATGGATACGCAACAGCAGACCAACGTGCCGGTACATGGCCGTTCACCATGCTGTTGCCCATGGCTTCTAGCTCAGCAGACATGACCACAAGTCCCTTAATCGCCTTCTGAATCTCCACAAGTGAAATTTGCAATAACGCCAGCAACCGGTTAAAGCGTCCAAGCTCCTGCGTCAACACAGTGTTCATCGACTCAGAGTACGACACTGGGAACGCGAGCTCTGCCTTCTCGATATCAAAAAGAGGAGGCAACTTAGCCGCGATGTCGCGTGCTGTTTCGTCCAATACTTCATCCCAGGACTTGGCCGCTCCGCCTCCTCCTGACGCACCGCGTGGCTGTAGTGACAAAGCTGATTCCAGTAGCAAGTTCGTCTCTGCGATGGCTGTCGAAATGTTGGCGTTGTCATGAAGTCCAAAGACTTCCGGTCCCTCGTTCATAGGCAGCTGATCGATGTAGTTCAGGAACACCGATAATGAACCGTCCGCTGATGGTGCGTAATACAGACCTGAAGGAGAAAACGTGTAGTTATCCGACAGGATATCGGGCGTGTAGAAGTCCGAGAGGATCGTGATCAAGCAGCGTCGATCTTTATCGTCTGTCACTCGGCCACCGTAATTGCACTCACCAGCCAGATACGCTAACGCAGCGTACGGGATCGGGTCATTCGGCTGTAAATCATCTAGGGAGATCTTCAGTTGGTCTTTAGATATAGCCAAATCCGACGAAGAGAACACGTAGCTGATATTCCAGCCCAATGGTCCGAATTTGGTGCGTTCTCGCACTACAGCATGGAAGAAACAGAGGCCAAACAGCAGCTTCTTGAACTCTCGAGGTCGCTTACAACTCGCAACCCACTGCTCATCAATCGTCAAGTAGGACCCTTTCAAATTCGCTCGCATCCCTTTAGGCGGTTCATTTGTCATTTTCACACCGTGTTGAAGAATATACGACGGGAAGGCACGTGTAGGTTCACTCGTAAGCCACAGACGGAAGCTCGCATGCACTCTATCCGGTGTGATCTCTTCGCATATTTTCTCCAAAGTAGGCAGCCAACTCACAGATAAATGACAATTCTGTAGACACACCCAAGTACCGTTGTCTATCGCTTCAGCGATGGCATTTTCGGCCAATGGGCCTTGTCCTTGACCAAGTGAAATAGCCACAAATTTCTTGTTAAAACCTAGTTCTGCGGCCAGTTTAAGCAGCTCGGACATGGGATCAGCGCCTGGTGTTAAGACGAAGATAAGCGGAGTCGAACAGTTCGAATCGTCAAAGCCAGCCTTAAGGTCAAATGGCTGTGGCTCAATGAAGCGCTGGCCCATCTCGGTCGCTACAAAAGACATGACGGCCGGGATCACCTTATCTGGTCTTATACAGCGTAACACAATGATACGCTGGAAGGCGTCTAAAGCTGCAACTACCGAGATATTCATCAACGTTTCTGCTGGATCGGTAGCGTTATAAGACACCTCCCAGAGATCCAATTCTTTAGCGAATGTATCACTGAAACCAGTGAACGACGGTAGTGCATCCAGTCCAACGATATTTGCCCATGTCTTGTCATTAAGCCATGTTTCAGAGCCTACAGGTTTGGGTTTCTGAAGGTCCATCTGGGTATTACCGGTAAAGAAGTACCGTAACTCAGTACCGTCGATCGTACCGTTTCCAACGAGAATTTTAATCGCCAGAAGAAAAGCGAACAATAATTTGTCCTTTTCAAAAAGAGATCGACATACATTCTGGTACAGGATGAATGTAAACGCGTCATTGAGATTGTCAAGACGAGTGGCAAGCACCGATGAGCTCTCAGCTCGGCTGATAGAGAACACGAAGAGGTTGATAAACCACTCAAGTGCATACTGGTACATAGGGTCGATCACGGTAAGATCCGCAATACAGAAGAAAAGCTGCGACGCCCTGAAGGCCACAGGTAAATATCCCTGACGTTTCTCTGCGATCATCTGCTGGGTCACTGCAGCTTCACGAACCTTCTCTTCGATTTTATTCGCCGTGATCTTCGAAGCTCCGAGCGTCTCGATCAGCCGTTCATCATCCAGAATATTCCCTTTGGCAGTCTGGAGCAAGTACAGTATCTGATCTTCTATCTCCTTCAGTGTCTTTTTATTCGCTGCATCTTCAAGCACCAGCTTCTCTCTTTGCTGTTCCAATACAGGTTCTTCTTTAGCGACTACAATACCCAACATTTGGTCTTGTAAACCTTCTTCCGTGGCCATAAAGTTAAGCAAATTCACCTTCACACACGTCTCCGGTGGATAATGAGGATTACGCAGCTTGGTTGTCATATAAAGCCGGAAATTCGCGTCATATTCCACGGTATTATCGCCCAACCGAATAGTAGCCACACCGCCGGTTTTAACGACTTGTTTCAACAAAATCGGCTCCAACATGGGGTCAATTTCTTCGGGGATATTCTCAATCAACACTGCAGCACCGATCATGATCGAGTTCTCTAACATCCGTACAAACCCGGCTTGTGACTGCTTGACAACCTTCAAATTGTTACTCTCTTCCATGTTCTTAACCCATCGGTTAGCTTGACCCTGCGGATCAATCATTAACGGCCAGCGATTACTACGTTGTAACATGATAGCGTTATCAATCGAAAAGGAGTCGTTCGGCAGCTTCGCGATCGTCCAGGCTCGGATCTGCACAGCTTCTCCTAGTGTTTCTGTTAACGTGAAGGTCTTGGAGCACGTAATATTCTGTTTAGTGAGTTCTGAGCACCACTGATCCACTGCACGTTCACGGTACACACTGGTAAATGCCCCTAGATAGGCGATAACACCGGATGCAAGCATGATATCGCCCACAACGTTATCGTAGACTATCTGTAACTGCGCCGACATATCGCTCCAACGCGCCTTCTCTCCTCCTAATCCACCGATAAGTTGCGTAGCTCTCGTGAGTTTTTTAGAACAGTCATCCACTTGGAATTCTAGATCGCTCTTCTTCTTATACGCAGCCGCCAGATCTTCTTCCAGTCGCGCCACTTTATCGAGTACAAGTTGCAACGCATCTTGCTTGATCTTGAGTTCACTCTGCGCCTTTTCTAACGCCAAAGTGGCAGCTTTCAAAGCTTCACGTTTAGGCGCAACCACTTTAGCTACTCGATCGTAAACTACCATCGCGTGTACCCAACTGCAGAGACCTGACGCTGCCACAGACGCCTTACGGATTTTATCCGCTTGGAAATCCGGATTCGCAGTATACGGACGCACTTTATCCATTGCTTCCACCGGGATATTATCCTTATCGTACTCTAACAGATTCTGTAAAAAGCGCGTATCACCCAATAGCGATTTCTGTGCCGGTCCCCAGTAATCGTCAACTTTCTTAGTGCCACCCGCTGGGTCTTTAACTTTAACTGGCGGTACTCGCATCATGATACACACAGCCTCCATCACCAGCTTAACTCCATCAGGAGGCTTCTTCATGGCCTTAATCTCCGTAATATCACCTTTCGTTAGAGTTTGCAGTGCTTTAACTGCATTCTCTAACGCTGGAATGGCTTCAGCCAATTCAGCTTCACAACTCTCTTTGATACCGTTAGCCTCTGCTGCTTGTTCGTTGCACAATTTCTCCTCTGCACCGACGATATCTTTTGTTGCATTGGCCTCTTTCTGCTCACGTGAAATGGTTTCTAACAACGCATCTGTCTCGATAGTAGCCACCTTTAATAACGGCTGCAAAGCCTCCA